AGAATTGCGTGGTTGTTGCCTTGTGGATATTTTATGCAGCAAAACACTTGGAATAACAAACTGTTAATGGACCCAATTATTTGTATACAGCGGGATCATGCGCTTCCGAGTGATTTCCCTTATTAAGCCTAGATGTCTGGTTCAGTGTTGCCTCAAAAGCCCTGATCAGGACCAGACCCCTGCTGAATACAGGTGCACTGAATAATGCTTTTATTTTTGACCAAGATAATGCTATAAAAAAAACAGTGAATAATCATAGAATCATAGAATCATTATGCAGTGGAAGAAAAGAGGGAGGATGAATGAATATAATAATGAAATCCCATAGTTAGGCCTTCTACTTTCCTACTTGTTTCTATAGTTTTGAATCATTTATTGAATTTGTTTGTGGGCGGGTTTAGTATTATTAGCTGTTCTGTTACATTGCTACAGCAAATACATAGATACCATTTTCTTGATGTGTGTATGTTTGCTTTCAGTATCAGCCATAATATTCCTTTTACAGTGACATGACATTTTTGGGGATATCTAATTTCTGAGATACTTACGAAAATGTACATAAAATTGTGATGCAAAACCAAACAAAGACTTTTTTTTGCACTGCTCGTCTCTTTCTCTCTTTTGTTCATTGCCACCTCCATCCCTAGTATCCACTTACTCCCAAATTACCTTTGCAATGAAAACACACTGAAGAAATTTCAGCTTCAAGTGTTATTTTCTTTTAAAGGATTTTGGGGTGGGGAAAATAGAAGTGCAGGGTATTAGAATTTAAACAGCTTTATACTAGCAACTAGCATTTTTAATACAATGCTGCAAATTCTCAACCTGCATAAGCTATAATTTGCTTTATCCCCAAGGCAGCAAGGAAATTCGTATGTACAGCACATTCTTCTGGTTCAATAGTAGGCTTTCCTTTTTGGGTAAGTGTAATTTTTTTTCTGTTTAGAATTATGTCCTGATAAAGATTTATTGAAGCGTGGAACACATATCATTAGCGTGTATGTGTTACTTGAGATTTGAAGCTGCCTTTTGTATTTTTTCAGCTCCAAAAAGTTTATTTGAAGGTCAGTGTGGCTAGTTTTCTCGCTGCTGTTTTGCAATTTTGAACAAGAGCTGTGCAGTGTGATGCTTTTTGTATACTTTTCCAGGCAATGTTAGGTATCAGAAATGTTGTCTATTACAAGACTGTTTTAGCAAAGAAGTGGACTTGCATTGTTATGATTTCTTTAGCTTCACTGTTCCTCTGCTGTGTTTCTGTAACTGATGATTTCTCAAGAATCTGCAAATCAAAAGACAGCCATTTTTCCCCAGTCAAGTAAATGCTGCCTTTGCTAGGAAAATTCCTGTTGCCTGGGAGCTTTTAGACGACCAAAAACGTTGTGCAAAAGAGCAAAATATAGTTACTTTTCTTGGACAATATGTTGACCTAAACTTAACAATAATTAACTGAACAGCGTGTCTCACTGCAGGCTGCACATGAGAAGGTACTTCCTTCTGCTGCTTAATCAGAAATCTTGCTGATTTGCAAAACCTTTCATTTTACCCATTGCTTTACTGAATTCCTTTTGTTTCTCTGTGCATTCCCATTTGGATCCCACGTCATGCCTCGGACTTGTTACGTGTTGTTTTTCCAGCAGCACAATGCAGACACACTGCATGTGGAATGGAAATCAAAGCGAGAGCTGCTTTTGCTTTGTTCGAAGGCATGTGTCTGCAAGCCTGTGCTGGGTTTCCCCTCCCGCTTGAATCTGGTGGGATGGTGAGATGTAAACAGCAGGCATTCTCCCCATCGGTGCATGGACCAGGGTTTTGGTTGAAGGCAGTAATTCATGGTTTTGTTGCCTTTCACTGAAGGCCTTAAAGCTTGAGCAGATGTGGAAGATTCTTCCACTTTCGTAGATGATAAAGTTTGGTGCAGTGTGCTGTGCTGGGGTAAGTGGGGAGGAAAACCTAGGTCCTCTACTGTTCGTCATCTGACTGTTAGATAATCTGTTCTTATTTGAGAGCTCAGGACTGTTTTATCTAATTAGATATACACTTAAAGATAGAAAAATTCTTCCAGAACACTGGATGTTATCTATTGGAAAGGTTAGAAAATCAAACCTATTGTTTATTTTAAAAACTGGATGCCTCCCAACTCCCTTCCCTATCTTTCTTTCTTCCTCCTCCCCAACACCCTGCTGTCATTACAATACTGGCTCTGTTCAATTTTTCATAGACCGTATATAACACCACCACTTAGGACAGGAATGGGAAACTACTGCATTATATCCTCTGCTTTAAGGCAGTTTAGTCAGGTAAAATACGAGAAAGCAGCAGCTTTCTTAGTAGCTAAAGGTGTTTGTAATTTGATGTTCACAGTGCTGTTAAAGAATGATTGCTAGAAAGAGTTCATATGCAAGTTTCCATATAATTTAAAGCCTTGTGCTGCATGAAGAAAGGTAGGGGAGAGGGTAGGATCTGGCAGTGAAGTTTTTTTCCCTGCTCCCTCCCTATTATGGACCAAAATCACTCTTCCTAAGGAGCTGCTGACCTGGGAAAGTATCAGCAGACTTCCCAAGTGAGCATTTATTTTGTTTCTCATTTCCCTTCTTTCCGCCTACGGACTCTGCTGCAATGAGAACATAAGGACCGAATAATTTAGGCCTGATGTGTGATACCACACAATAAAACACTTTAGCACAGTACAGGTTTTGCATAAACTAATTTGGGCATAGTGTTTAGGGTACATAAAACATACAAAAAGTCTGGGCTGAGAGGTAAGAACGATTGGAAAACACCAAAATCACAGCACAACTTTCCTAATCTCTATGTATTTTTCCACTCTGTCCCATGGAGCATCTACAGTCTCAGAGTTGTAAATGGTATGGTACAAGGCATCTCTGTTTCTGCTCAGAGGGCGTTTTTCCTTTGCCGTGTCCATTTTTATGAATTTGATTTCAGATGAGGTATCATAGAATCATAGAATTTCTCAAGTTGGAAGGGACCCATAAGGATCATAGAGTCCAATTCCCTGCTCCTTGCAGGATTACCTAAAACTAAATCATATGATTAAGAGCCTCATCCAGACGCTCCTCAAACTCTGACAGGCTTGGTGCCATGACTGCTTCCCTGGGGAGCCTGTTCCAGTGACCAGCCACCCTCTCAGTCAAGAACCTTTTCCTAATGTCAAGTCTGAACTTCCCTTGATGCAGCTTCATACCATTTGCGCGTATCTTTTAGAGCAACCGAATGCTTTGGCACCATTTGGTGCCAAATTTGACCCTGATTAGTTCAATTTAAAATACTGGTTTTGCACCATTGTAGTGAAAGGTATTGTAGCAGTAGGAGGTGATTAAATGCCAGAAAAGAGCATAGTTAAATTATGTAAGTTATTTTTCAGTTACTTCAAAACTGACCTTTATTTTTTCCTGCAAATAATTTTTTTAAACATGGATAGCCTCTATTAAAGCTGTACTGATACTTCTTGACACTGCAGATGTGGGAATGTGGTATGTGCATAGATACACATAAAATGTTGTGGTCAAAGTTTAGTTTTGTTTATAGAGGGTTTTTAACAAGTACAGGGTGCAAATTTGAAAAGATTTGCTGAGACTACATTCTGAGTATTTCTTTTCTTAATTCATGTAACCACTTCCAGTATTCAGTTATCTGGATATCATTCATTATCTGAGTATCTGAGATTCATTAGCTCCAGACTGCAGAAGTCATGTTAGTTATGCATGCTCCATCTGTTTAGTTGATTTAAAAAGTATCTACCCCATGATACAGGTAACGTTCCTATCCAATACAGAAGAGATTCTGTACATTATCCAGGCTGACTGACTTGTGAAGTTGATTTAAAAATTAGTAACTTTAATAAGTGATTTTCTAGCATATGCTCTTTGTAAGATACTGCCATGAACGGCATAGAAAGGAATGCCTGTAAAGAGGAGCTGAAATAAAGTGCAAGAATAACATGCTGTAAGTCACCAGCAAAGGCAAAACAGACTTTTGAGAACTGTGGTGAGCAAAAAGGAGAATGGGAAGCTGTGATGTTTTCTCTTTGATGTGGAATATCTATCTGCAGGTTTTCTGATGAGACACAAGCTAGCCAAGTACAGTGGTAAGGCAATGTCATGCTCCTCTGAGCCCTGTTTAAGCATCACAGGCACGTGGCAGAACTGGAGCCCTGATTTTTCATCCTACTGTCTGAACTAGTGTACAGAACTTCTAATATTATGTGATATATTGTATACTAAATTGTGCCAAAAACATAAAGAATGTTTATTGAAGATAATGGCATGTGACCCCTGAGCTGCAGGCTCAGCAGCAATTTCATTTATTTAACTGCATTACATTGTCAGTTTGATGTCCGGCTGTAAATCTTCACAGTTGTCTTGTGTATTAATACAAACAAATGGATATACATCAAATTTGTCTATAATCAAGTGTAAAGAACAATTTTGTATTTTCTTCTGTTGGTAATGAAAACTATGAGAAGGTATACGTAATAAAGCCCTCAAAGCAATAGATATTTTCTGCACAATGCACATGGTTAACATGCACTACTAAGGGCAACTATCCCTATATAATGCAGTTTTCTTAAATCCTGCAGTGCATTGGTGAGATGTTTGTCCATAGGGGCAGTGCCTTCCCTTGCGCAAATCAGTGGTGCAGTGATTCAGGATGTTATAGTGAGGGCCACGGTTTTAAATACTTCATCTCATGACAGCATTGATCCTATTCTTGCTTTCTGGAAAGCTTTTCTAACTCTGGTAACTTGAGTTATGCAAAACTGTAGCCATTCCAGATTTATTCAGGTTTATTTGTTTAGATTATGCATTCTTTTGTTTCCTATCCAAAACTCCTTTTACAAGGTAACTAAGTGCTCTTAATCAGAGGTGAGGACAGGTGGGCAGTAAATAAAATTTACACAATTTACAAAATATTTTGGAATAACAGACACTGTGGAAGCACCAGAGTGAAAGGTTACTAAAGGTGTATTTTTTGAATTTTAGGCTGGGCGATGCAGGTTGCTGCCTTTGTTTTCATTCAGAGAAAGTGGGAAGATGACAAGAGTCACTTTGAAAAAATGCTGGATTATTTCTGTGACATTCGTGAACCACTACAACTCCTCATCTTTCCGGAAGGAACTGATCTCACAGGTAGGCTGCATTTGTCATCTTCTCGTGGAATGTTCAACGTGGAAATTCTTTGTTGTTTATGGAATTAGTTAAGAAAAGTTCAAGGCAGGAGCAAGACTGGGTTCTCATGGACAGTAGAAATTACAGTTAATGCTCATATGTGCTGATTCATTTGAGAGGCACAGACATAGTTCCACTGAGAGGCTTTGCCAGTCTTCCTGAAATAACTGTTACATTTCAAAGCATCTGACGATTGAAATGGCTTTATATTGGTCAGTACTGTATGTACACTGCATTAGCAAAAGTAGGTTTCAAGACCTGGAGTAAAATCACTTGCATGTTCCCATTTCCCGTATTACTGGGGCAAACAGTGCAAAATCGTTTCAGACCTATGGAAGAGTGACTGAAGAGGAGAACTAATGATTCTATTGGATTTCTTGCCAGTGTTGAAAACAACTCAATTGCCAATAAAAGAAAACATTGTATGAATGTTCTGTGGTGGTTCATGCCTGCAGCATGATTTGATAAGCATCATCTTTAAATAGAAAATCAATTACAATTAAACTTCTACCTTTTAGCTGATTTAAAAGGTTTTTACTATACTTTCCATTGCAGATATTCTCAAATCATATTTTATTGCAATGCCAGATCAGTAAGTACTAGACACAGTATAAAAATAACTAATATACTGCTATTTTTTGTTCTGTATTCCCGATATCCTTAAAAATGGATATGTATAGTATGCAGATGCTATCACACCGTAGGGAATTGTCATCACTTGATCAGCCTTCCTAAAAGAGGATAAATTCATTGTACATTCTTGGACTGCTTCATGTGATATTTCCTGTTGAATTAGTTATTTTGTATCTAAAATTAGGAAGAAGGATGGAAATCATCTCACTTTAATTTTTTTTTTTTTTTCTTTGAATTCATGAACAACTCTTCCCTCCTAGCTCTGAATTATGAGATGAAATCTTAATATTATTCATGGAGTCAGGAGACTCCTCCTTGGGTAGCTCACACTCTCTTTCTGAACAGGTGTTTCCATCTCAAGATGACTGAAGGAATTGGATTGTTTGTAGTTTTTTCCATAAATTATGTATACCTTCTAATCCCTCCCAATATTCCTCAGAGACAACAGATTTTAAAGAACTGAGGAAGTTTCGTACTGCAGTTTCAAAAAAGAAAAATTACTGAGGACTGAGACAGCCGTCGTGTGTTAACACTTGTGCCGTGGAGTCCCAAAGGCAGCGGTGGTGATGCTCCCACCTGAATGTGGAGTTGCTTAAGGAAACATAGGGTTTTCTCTCTGCTGTTGTACCTCATATAAATGGCTTAGACTAAATTTAAGCATATGCTGTTGATACCATCCACTGAGAAATTCAAGCAGACAAGATTCTTCACTTCATGTTAAAAAATTCTCTAATTGTATTTCTGAACACAGATTTTTGACAGATTTTTTTTTAAGGTGTTTCTGTTGTTCTGGTTTTCCTTCTTCATACATGTGTAACACGTACTCTTTAACTTTACAGTGTCAAATGGGTATCTGCACTAACTGTGCTGTTCTTCTGAAGTCAGTTTTAGCCACCGCGGATGGGTGGTGACCGTTTCCCCCTGGTTTGTTGAGCAGCCCAGGGAGGAAGAAGCACGGTGGGAAGGACAGTGATGGGCAGGGAAGACGATAGGGCACTGCTTCCTTGGGCAGCCGTGCTGGCTTCTGACATGTTAAACTGTCCGGCGTTTACCACTCTAACTTGTCATCGGTAACGAATGCCACCTTGATATTATATTTGTGCATAGTAAAATGTATAGAGACAGGCAAAACCCTGGGGCTTTTACTGTGAAAGTAAATAGCTCTCCCTATCTAATTGTCTTCCCAGGAAACATTAGCTCATATATTTTAAAATATTATAGGAGACAGGGCAAAATCCCTTGACAAGCTAATCCTGACCAAGCAGTAAGTTTATGCCACATGAGAATGATAGAACATAATAATGTATCTTGTGTAACATTTTGAAAAAACGATTTTCAGAAAACTGTTATATTATTGACATATTAGGGCCTATTGCAACCTCATGTTCCATCTTTTAGAATAAGAAATAAACTGCGGTTTTGTTCTGAATGGTCGCTCAATATCCTAAGGAGCATTTTGCAAAAATAGAGGCAGTGGCACTTGTTTTCTGACCAAATTCCAAAACTGCTAATTACTTCTGAAAATTCTTCTGGTGCTTAAAATGAAAAATAACATTCTACATGTACTTCACTGAAAAGCAGAATTGCTGTGCATTTCTGTGCTACTATCTTTTTTTTTTTTATCCTCTCAGTGGCTGCATGACAATGGTAGATTTACTCTTTATAAGAAATTGTATAATGTTTTCAAGTATTTGAGAATGAAAGATTTCAAAGAAATGTAAAGTATGACTGTATTTATATATGGGCCACTGCCTGACTTCAAGTTGGTGAAGTACTTTGCAGTGGAAGATGCGACGTAAATAAATTTTAGAAATAGTAATGTCATGAACCCTGAACGATGTATTTGCAGACTGGATGTATAGGGTCTCAGGTAATAATTATATACTTATTTCTGATAGGTTGGTCATCTTTTCACTCTGGAGTACTTCAAGGTTAAAGCTAAGTGCATCAAAGGTATTTTATTGTAATTGCTTAAAAAGAAGCCCTCAGCAGATAACCATATAGCCAGACTTTCTGAAGCCCTGAAGAAAACAAAGCAACCATAAGTCTAGTGCTTCTGGAAAGCTGGAATACAACCCACTGTTTTGCTTGTTCTTTTGTTTTTCTTGGTGTTCCTTACAAGACTCTTTGTCGTAATTCTTCAGAAAGCAATAACAAAAAAAAATATTGCTGTATTGCTCTGTGCGTGTTAAAGTCTCATTTCCTATGGATTTGTGTCTGCATCTCTATACGTGGTCTCTTCTTCACTCCAGCTTCTCCTTTTTCCTTGTGTTTCCTTCCGTGTGACATTTCCTCCACAGATCTCTTGCTGCTGTCTCAGCAAGAGGCATCGTGTGCTGTGGCTCAGCCTCACCAATACTTGTGTTAACTGACGGACCGCTGCATGCTGTGCTGAAAGCCCTGGCAGGCTAAATACCCGTGGAGCCTGCCCTGGCTGTTCCTGTTATTAAGATCTCTACTCTTGGAGGCTCCCCTTTACTCAGCCACTGGTTTTTCTGGAACTGCTGTGAGGCTTAATTATCTTTGAATCTCTTGTCTCTGTCAAACTTTGTTTGCAGGTGGCAATAGCTTCAAAAGTTAAGGGGACAGTGTGATTGCACAGACCTTTCTTCCTTGAAGAACAGCTAAAAAACAAGTAGGAAAGCTTGCTAGAGCCCATGTTTTGGCAGGGATGTTGTGATGTGGAACACATACAATATTCTGTCTAGAAGGTAACAATGAACTGCAGTTGGATTTTTCTCTTTTTCTAGTAAATATGACGTACTTTGGTAATGCAAAAAAATACTGTTGAAAAGTACTGGTAGAGGTAGATTTAACATGTAATGGTTAGAAAATAGCACAAATAAGAACAATTGCTTAACTTTTTCTTAAAATATCAACTGGGAGCCAATGTAGCTTTTCTGCTTTCTATGGAGAGATAAATGAGGGGGTTTTTTAAAAGAGAAATTTCTGGAGTACTTGTTTATTCTTTCACTGTCTGGTACCAATATCATTTGAGAGTACTTGAAGCCATAGAAGTACATGCATGCTTTTATCACAAGTCAGATTAAAGGAAAAGGTAGTACTTAATATTCAAATTTCAGTGCACCAGTACTACCAAAAAAAAAAAGTAGTTGAGAGTTGATCAGAAATAGTTGTATTAAAATTGTCAGAATCAGCTTTCCAGTAGGATGATGAGGGAAGTTTATAATTCTTTTGGGTGATGTCCAGCAAAACACATCAGCCTGGACAATGTTGTAAAGGCATGTGAGCTTGCTTGTTTGAGAGGAGCTAATACTGCATACATATTTCATGGGGAGCACAGACTTAGCTTTTATTGGGTTTATTGGAGTTTTAGTTCCATGCTTCAGACTCACGTGAATGCAGCTTGTTTTACTGCATTATGGCTTTCATCAAAGTCAAATTCTAGAGATTTTTGTTTTAACTCAAAACTAGCTCACAAATTAAAAATATAATTTGACTTTAAAAAAAAATTGAATTTGTTCATTGTATCCTCTGTTTTTCAGGGGCAAAAGCAATTTAACGTCTTAAAAATCTGTAACTCAAAACCAAAGAAAATGTGTTAGCATAATTTCTTCCTCCAGTTACTTTAATGAAATTCTGAAGTGTGGTGCTTCTAGAAAGTACTGACTTTCTGAGCTTTTCCAATAATTTAAAAATGTGGTAAATGGGATTTGCCCACATAATTTTGAGATAAATGAAAAAAAATTTAATCAAATGATGTACCAAAGGCAGCACAGGAGCAAAAAAAAAAAATGTAAGAGGTTATGGCCAGAACCTTTAAATTCTTATTCTTTTGTGTAGTTTGACAGTTGCTCTGCTGTAGTGTCTAAAGACTCAAATAAATTGGACTTCTTGTACTTGTCACCACCCCAAAGAACATACCTTCTGAGAGGCAGCATGTATTCGCTGAAGCAGACGGGAGGAGAGGCAAGTCAGTGCGAGACCAGAGGAGACAGAGCCTGAAGCAGTTCTGGATCAGGAAAGGTCCCACATCACCCTCTATTAATAAACTGGCTGCTTTCCATAAAAATAGATTATTCTACTTACTCTTTTTTATCATAGGAGCAAATAGAACCAAGGAGTTAAAATGCAAAATACACCTAATAGGAATGATGAGCAAAAACTCTGGGGGTAGATTTACTTTGGCTTAAATACAGTGTAAGAAAGAAACTACTTGTTTCTAGAAAGCAATGCTTACTCATCTCTTTCAGAGAGAGTGAGCAAGAGGGGACATCACCCTTAGCCAAATGATGTGAGCGACCTTTCGGGATTGGGGAGACCTAAACTGAGTGCATTTCCAGTCCCTGCTTCAAGAGCTGCTTTATGCAATTTGCGTTAGAAAAGAACATGTGTTTCCTCTTTTTAAGGAAGTGTTTTCACTATCAGGCTTACAAAGGCATCTTTCACTTTTTTTATCCTTTCACCTGAGAATGTTATAATCTGGACTGCAGAATGATGAGGCATCTGCCTAAGTTTTGCAGCGGTGACAGTGTAGCCCGGTCTGTTGATAAAGAGATTTTAAAGAGGTGTTTGTTGTGCGAATTCCCTTAGGTTGGGGAGGATATAAAAATGGGTTTCTTACTTCCTGGATCAGTTTTCCAACCCCTCGGTTTCATGTAATGGGGAACATCACATTTTCTGCCTTTTGTCGAATCCAGTGCTGAGCCAGGAGACTTGCTCTGAATTTCCCCCCCAGGTTTAGGCGCAGGTGTCTCGCACAGGGATCCCAAACAGCAGTAGGCACCACGGTGCTTACATCGGGTAAGATGGCAGTCCGTGCATTTGTTCATAAGTAATAGCAGAGTAAGAAACTGTTTTCTTCAAATGCTGAGAGTAGCAGGAGGGGGAGGAAGGGCGTTATTCCTACTTTTCGGTCAAGTAAAAGCATATTCTGCCCTTGCTTTCAGGATAGCATCAAAAACCCTTTGACCTTCCTGACTTGCTATAATAAATATTGTTTAGTGCACGAAGACCTGTGGCTTGATAGTTGTTAGGAAGGGAAGAGGGAGATGATTTTTCCAGATGACAATGATCATTTTATTAGCTGGGAGCGTTATTCTAGTTCTAAAATCCCATTACACTAGGGTCATGCAAAAGGGGAAGGGAACAATCTCTGTTATATAAAACTTACAGTCCAGAGGCAAGACAGGGATACAAATATCAGGAAATAGCTGAATAGTGTTGGCCGGTGTGCCAATGTCCAGCTGCTCACACATTTTCAGAAAGGCATTGTAGTAAAGGGAAAGTTGGAAGATGTTTTACAGATGTTTACAGTGAATTCTTTCCAAGAGCAGGGAGGTGCGCTAAGAGGAGGTTTGAAGATGATTAGTTCAAGGCAATGGGCAGTGGAGGTCCCAAACCTTTTTTGCAGCATCAGGTAGGTCTTGCTCAGAAAACGAAACTGCCCATTTACTCTTTGGTTTTCCTGCGGTGCAAGTAGGAGTGTTTTGCAAACACCAAGGAATGCGTTTTCATGCTGCCTCTGAAACAAAGTGCTAGTGAGTAGACATACGGAGAAGGTTTTTCTGAGTGCTCATTAACTGTGTGCAGTTTGAGATGCTTAAGACTTAGGTTTATTAGCTTTTTTTAGACTGCTTAGCTTTGTGTAGACACTTACGTCACTTGTGTCTCAAAGCTTTGATTGGCTTGATTTGCAGATTGCAGATGTTCCAACGTGAAACCCAAATTTGGATGTGCAGAAAATGAAGATGACACTTCTTCTGTCCTTTGGAGGAAACAATACATTAACTTAAAACTTTGTGATAAATTAATTAAAAGCATCTTACTTGAATCGCTGCAGAATCGGGAAAGGAACTCTTGACTTGTGTACTTTTTGTAGGAACACTCTTGGTGATCAATGTTGTTTCTTAGAAAATAAACAGTTTGAGTTGTTGAGCTAATAGTGTAATACAATTATGTCTAAGAGGTAGAATCTGGCTTTTGGAGGAGCATTTAATAATTACCAGATTACCCTTGCCTTTTCTGCCATTCCAAGTCTTGCTCATGACTCACTGTGGGTTTTGCCGTCACAGAGGCAGGGGTCCTAAAGGCAAGTTCCCTTTGCTGATTCAGAATAGTCCTTTTTCAACATTGAATGGAGTAGTAGTCAAGCAGACAAAAATAGGTATTCTGATCATGTGGTTAAAGACATAATGCATATGTCCAAGGAAAGATAAATTTAAGTTACATAGCCAAGTATAATTTTAGTATTTCACACATTCTGTAATTTTAGCAACGCTTTTTGAAGATGTAATATTTTCAAGTATTTGTACATTTTGGCAATTTGGCAAGAATTAAATCTTTGGATTCTCTTTGCTGAATCACTTGCTTGGCTACCGTGCAACAGTTTTCCTTTCCTCCAAATCACATGGTCAGGAAATCTGTGCACTAAATCTAAGGGTTGCATGTATTAAAAGCACTACTCATGCATGGAAACAACAGGTCACAGGGAAAAGATACTCAGTATATTGATATGCTATAGCATATTTATTAATAGGTAGACGGTCCTTTAGGAGGAACACCCACATTTTTTGATAAACAAAGAGCTCATGTAATTTAGGAAAAAAAGAAAGATGCAGGAAAGTTGCATTACTGCAAAAAGGACATCTCACACTGCTGTTGACTTGTCCACTTGTGCTCTTGTTCCTTTACAGGAAAAATTATGATGATTTTAAGGGAAAGGCCTTACCTATAAGTATAAATTCTGTTAAATTAAGCAGCAATATGTTTTTCTTTACTGTATTTCCCATTTCTGTTAAAGTTAACTGTGAACACTTAAAAAAAGAGCTGTTTCTGCTTGAAAAAGATGATATATTGCTTAGGCAATGGTTTTGTTCCATAGATTGTTGCTGGGATTTTGTCTTTTAAAAAAACCTTTAAAACTATATAAATACGAGTTATTAAATAAGTTAGTTGATCAAATTGATTTTTTTTTTCCTTGTTGCCAAGGGAACATTGCATGTGTCCGTTGCCTTTTGGCCCCAGAGGGGAGGCACAGCAGTACCCACAACGAAGGAGTAAGTGTAGCCAGCAAAGTCTGTTTGGCTGCTAACTGAGGCTGCTTGGAAGAGCCTCCTGCACATCACTGGAGAACAGATTGCTTCCTCTCCGCCTGTCTTCAGAAGTTTTCACTTTAGTTGTCCGCATCTTCCTTGCTTAGCGGGCTCTGTTAGCAACTGGCTCTGAAAAGCCTTTGTTCGGTTTTCTCGTGAGAGACTTCTTTTTGCCAGAGGTTCGAAAGAGATTTGTCACGGGGTTTAGCCATGCTGCTTTCCAGATGCCTTGCGTGTATTCTGCGTACAGTAGCAAGCATGTGTTGCGACACTGAGGCAGTCAGTCAAAAAATTAAAACAGGGTATGTACGTGCAGCGCAGGTTGATGAATAAAACGTGTCAAGTTCAGAATGAAGATGTAAAATACCATTTTAATGTATTAGATTAACTGTTTTCCTCCATTTGATATTTTCTTTCTGAAATAAGTTTAACGTGGTTAAACATTGACCTCAAGGTATTTCTGTACATAGTATCAAACCTACATTACTATCCATTGTGCCTTTTGAGTTTAAAAAAAAATTGAGCCAATTAACACATTTTACTGTAAAATGGGTATTGAAGTGTACAGAGAACTATTAACAGACTTTAATTTGTAGATTTCAGATTGCATTTGATAAATACGAAAGATTTGCTGATTATTTTCTAAAATGAAATGAGAGGGTAAAAAGGCTTTTCTTGCAATCCACATTGCTCTTCCTCATACCATACTATAGCCAAGTGAAAGCACACTTGCAGTCTGCCTCCACCTGAAAAGCTGTGGCACATTCGTACTGTGTGAACTGCTGTTGTGCTGTTCCTGTCGTGTAATAATTATATTTAATTCTTGGTCTACGTGCACACTAATGAAAAATGGTGCTTTTTATTCTCTCCTTCAGCCAATACCAAAGCCCGCAGTCATGAATTCGCTGAAAAGAACGGACTTCTAAAATACGAGTACGTCTTACATCCACGAACTACTGGATTCACTTTTGTGGTTGAGCGTCTAAGGGAAGGTAATCCTGCTCTGTATTTATATGTTCTTTTTTTCCTTTAAGATAACGAATCTCACCCAAGCTATAGAAGCTGATGTTCACAAAAGTGCTTGAAGTATTCAGAAAAACTTTATGTATCCTGATGACAAAAAAAGCCCCCGTTTGCAACCCTACTTAAAATGATTATAACATGGAGAGATTTGAGAGAGTTGATAACAGATACTAATATCATCAGGAGCTATGCAGTGGATGAAAACAACATTTTCACTTTTTTTTCTTTTTTTTTTGATATTGTAGCTTGTTTAGCAATCTACCTCAGAAAAATAGTGGAAAAGATCCCGAGGAAGTTCAGTCTTATTGTCTGTACAGTCCTTCACCCCAACTGGGTGGTTGACACCGAACACACAGACATGTATAACGCTGCCCTCTCTGAAAAGCTGCTGGTTTTAAGTCTGAGAGCTGAGACAAGTGGCTGTGTTAAATGGACAAGGGGAATGCACAGCAGCATTTAGATGCAGCAAGTCAGCTGCCCAGTGCTGCCAGCTTTTTCAGGTGATGGTGACTTGGAGAAGCTACGTAAAATAGGAGTTGTGCTGCTTGGCAGGCAGAGTGGTGGGTAAGAGAATGCGTTGATACTTGCTTTTTACCTAGAAACGGTCTTCCATCCCTGTATTAATCTGGGGGTAGAGATCGAGACCCTATTATCAGGGGAACAGAGTATAAAGATGTGATTGCTTGTAAGATCGAGATGTCTGTGCGTTGTTTTGGGAACGGGCATTTCGATGAGATTTGAGGTGATAACGGTGCAACCGCTAAATGCTACTGCTGTGGCGGTCATTCAACTACAGACGAGTCAATGTTCGCAGGATATATGAATGTATGGTTGAAGAAAATAAACATGTACAGTAGATACGAAGTGACTTATTTATAGGCTAGTTCTTCAGGGAAAAGCAATTCTAGATCTTTAACACATGCTGGTTATTCTGACTGCCAAAGGAAGATGTTTGAGATTATTAAAAAGAATAAGGGCCTGCTGGTAGGTTTTTTCCCTTGCTGGAATCCTTGCTTGGATTTTAGTAGCAGAGCTGGCTTGCATTTTGCCTGATTCCTACTAAGCAGATATCCTAAAATCCTAAACTCTTTGATATTTTGTCCAGCTGTACAATCCTAGCTGGACCATGTATCTGTTTGACCCTATTTTTATTGGACATTCAGTGGTGGACATCTTAGATTTTAATCTATCTTGAATGTTTGTTACTCAATTTGCTGTGGTAAAAAAAAAAAAATTGCCACATATGCAATTTCAAAAGCTTGATTTACTTAAAACTTTTCAGCACTAGGTTAACCTAGTGCATAATAATATTTCTAGCCTGGAATAAATTTTCAGTTAAAAGAATGTTTTCCACTCGAAATATTATCAACTTTAAAAAAAAAAAAAAAAAAAGATTCTGTATTTGCTGCAGAAACGAGCTTTGTGGTTATACAGTCATTTTCTAATTTTATAAAAATGCTTTTCTCTTCTATTGCTGTATGAGATCTATGCAAATTAGGCTATTGGGTTATAAAAAGGAAAATATTTGAGGCTGATTAACTGATTTTATGCAGTACAAAGCTGGGGAAAAACCAAAAACATTCCTAGATGATTTTTTTTTTTTGTCCAGTCTTTCAAATGCTTTTAAGACCTACTTTTATTTAAGGCAGGCAAATATTGTGTGAAATATTAATGTCCCTTTAGCATTGAATTTACTAGGTATTGGGTACCTTGATAGGCATTATAGGCTATATATATTATGACTGTATGCTATTATGTAGTAAATTATGTGTGAGAAGGTAGTTCAGCTAGCATTCCAAAATACTTAGTTATTACATACTAATTTAAGAATTGGTTTTCAATTGTTTGCAAGTGTGCCAAATACGGACCATTTGTGTTGAAATGTTTTATTTTTATGGATAACCTAACTGTAGTTGCTTGACTTTAAAACACTTCAGTATATTCTATACCTGCACATATATTTTTTTTTTTAATCTGTACAATATACATGTCCAGGTAGATTTTCAGATGCAGATGGCAGAGCATCTAGCATTATCGTGCAGCTCTGGTTTGACTTATTTATACTATTAGAATGCCTTTTTTACAATTCTACTTTCTGATACTAGCAATAATAAAGAAAACCAGGATTGTTAAGGATACAGTGTTAACATGAGTCTCTGTTTCTGGACTGTCCTAATGTACAGTAGTAGCAATAATCATAAAGATAGACTTGTTTCCTTTTTTCTCTAGCATTATCGTGCAGCTCTGGTTTGACTTATTTATACTATTAGAATGCCTTTTTTACAATTCTACTTTCTGATACTAGCAATAATAAAGAAAACCAGGATTGTTAAGGATACAGTGTTAACATGAGTCTCTGTTTCTGGACTGTCCTAATGTACAGTAGTAGCAATAATCATAAAGATAGACTTGTTTCCTTTTTTCCTGCTAGTGTGACTTTAACATGCAGGAGGGAGTGGTGGAGATTTTAACATCATGTTTACGTCTTTGAAAGTATTTTTGTGCGTAGATGACAACCTTATTGCCCTATAGCTCTCCTGTGAATACATTTTGGCTCGTGGCTGTTTTCCATTCCTGAGGCTCAAGTGTCTTTACTTCAGGCCTGAGTACATTATTTTGCTCCAAAAAAAGGTTGATGAAAAGAGGGGGGAAAATGTCATTAGAAGTTTAACTGCTTTCTGAATGTTGAAAAAACTAATTTAATTTGGCAAGAACCCTGATTAATATGCATCACAAGCTGTAGCATGAAAGAATTACCTGTTGCTACATAAAAATAACTATTAGCAACCCTTCTGAATAGGAAATGAAGAATCAGGAAAAAATAACCTTCAGTAAGATGTTGGTGGTATCTCTGCAGGAGAGTTTCTTCCTAGAGGAAGCACTATCTGCACCCTGACAGCATAATCTGATAAGTTATCAGTCCTTTGCTTTCCATAGGTGGCAAAAATTTCTGAACCATGTGAATGGATTTTTGCCAGTGATGACCAACACTCAAATTCCTCTGGCTGCCTTCTCGCTCTTATATGGTCATTATTTCAACTATTTGATCTCTTTCGCTTGTAGATGCTGCTATGATGGTTTCTAAGTCATTGCTGAGATTATGGAAGCTAAGAAAAAAAAAGATCTCTATAACCTCCACCAAAAAAGCAATGAAAATTGTTTAGGCAATACATCTCCTCGGCTTCTGAGTCTCTTACCTTTTTTCCCTCCTTCTCGCTCTTATATGGTCATTATTTCAACTATTTGATCTCTTTCGCTTGTAGATGCTGCTATGATGGTTTCTAAGTCATTGCTGAGATTATGGAAGCTAAGAAAAAAAAAGATCTCTATAACCTCCACCAAAAAAGCAATGAAAATTGTTTAGGCAATACATCTCCTCGGCTTCTGAGTCTCTTACCTTTTTTCCCTACATTCTAGCTCACCTGAGCTGTGTCTTCTAAACAGAAACCCAGGTAAAAGCTGACTGGTTTTTTCCTTTCATTATGCTTAGGTGCCAAGACAATGAAAATACTATTTTACTTGTAAATGATCACAGTATTGTTTTCTCATTCATATAAACCTTAGAATCACCCAAGAGTAAACACAGACTGTGAACATGCTTTAGATGTATAATTAATAATATACTCAGGAGAATAAGGACTGCAGTTGTTGCTGTTTTGTAAGCAAGAGAAAGACATAAATTTGAATTCGGCATTGATTTTTGGAGAAGTGTGTTCCTTTGGCTCAATAATAATTTTAAGTAAGATGGTTTTATATAATGTCATTGTTTGTCCATGGTAAGAGAAAATACAGTATAGACATGAGAACACAAAGAGGGAAGGACCGCATGGTAGCTGGATAAGGTCAGCTTGCTACCTGATACGTAGTATAGAGTGTTACCTGAAGATGTGGAAGTAAAAGAGGAACAAAAATTTCAGCAAGGACTAATGAAGATGGAAAAGTATTAAATATACTTAGGCTAAATATAGATTAACAAAATACATGCATTTTTCACCCCTGCAAGAAGATCATCCTTCTTGGGAACGATTATTGAATTTCTAGTCAATTGTGACAGTCTCTGCAACAGATAAAGCAGGTTTGTGAGAGATTCTTCATTAATCTTTACTGATGCATGTTACTCAAAATAGCACTGGCCTTTTTCCTAGCATGCTTTCAAGTTTGCTTCTGCAAACACTTTGGCCTTAGTCTATTAAAATACTTAAAGTATGAGCTCAATTAATTACACATTTTCTCAGTGCTGAAGCACATTTGATTGCTTTGATCACTTATCGTGGCAGCCAGAGGAATTACCCTTGGAAGACCAAGCCTTTGTTGACCAAAGTGACCACTGCAATGCCAAGTACTATCACATCTGGTTAGTTGGCTATCAGTGGAAAGCAAAGAGAAATAAAAGAGTTGATTTGCTTCTTTCTAACTCTGTTCACTTGATCAAGTATATCATTTGTCTTGCCCCAGCTGTTACGAATCCTGGTTTCAATCAGGACCTGGTGAAAGATTACTAGAGCTGTATGCTGTATTTCTTTGGGGGACAAAGGTGAGCATTTTTGGAAAGACAGAGTTGGAACATGTGAATGAGCAACAGCAAATGAACTCTAGACCCCAAAATGAAGATTGATCATGACTTTTTTTTTTTAAACTCATCATCATATACCTCTCTTTAAACATCTCCTAAAATCATATTTAATCGTATTTTAAAACCTGAAGCTTTGAATAGATGTTACATATGGAGTAATTTTTGGCAGAACTTGGGTTAAGGCAAATCGTCTCTTTTTACAAAATGTGGGACTTTGAAAAGGACAGAAATGTGCAGGAATTTAAATAAGACTTTCATATAAGCATGCCTTCAACAATGTTAATTAAAAACATTTATGGTTTATATCATGCTCTTGAAGATCTAGTTTGTGAGATCCTTCTATGAAAGGTCAGGAGGTTACTCAGAAATTAAGTATAGGTTTTCAGGCCTGGTGGT